GGTCATAGTGTGTGTGTGGGGGGGGGGTGGGGGGTGGGGGAGGGGTAACTTATACTAGTGTCATGCATATGAGACTAGCTTAAGTTACTACCTTCATATTGCAGAGTATCATATTAGTAGTGTCGTACATGGCTTCATTTATTAGCTTGTAGACTCATTTTTTTTCTTGGAAAGCGCCATGTTACGATGACATATTATGTTACCACAAACATCTCTCTCCTCATTAACTACTTAGCACATAAGGAACTTTTTCTTGGGTTGTGTTATGTTACTCCCACTATGGCTAGCCTTAAGAAGGAGAGATGCCACTTTGGTGATCCCAGGAAGAAACGATGTCAAGTACGCGTACTTATGCAGAATGTCTGCCAACCAATGCAGGAAGGAGTTTATTTGCTAAGCAATTAGATGAAGTAAGCTTAGCTACAAAAGGTAAGCACATATGCGTTGGTGCATCAGAAGAGATAAATATGAAAACTACTACAATGATGTTGATGTAGTAACCGCACTGGTTAGTAGGAGTCTGACTTACTATGTGGTACGATGATCTGCTCACAATATGCTTTGAAAATCTTACGAGCACAATACTGGCGTAATTAACAAGACTAGCAAGATGTCCGTGCATTGCACAGAACATCAAGATGCATATGTATAACTAGTTTATCTTGTGGGAGAAAATGATGAACGAGGGAAGACCTTATCTGCAAATGTGGAGAGGAGTGCGGGTAAATTATCATAGTTTCCTTTCTATCTGTTAGATATAGATTGGACGACCTATATTGCAGGATGGCAGGCACACCATCATCACCAACTCTGCTTTTTATAAGAATAAAGATAAGGATGTATTTACTATGGCGCTCGGTGAAAATTTACCAATAATCAAGGTGGTTAGTATTAGCCATGTATGACATGGTGGTGATGTAATTGCCAAACTGCTTCATAATAATTACTGCAGTGAAAGGAAAGATGAGTACATATCGACTGTTTGGTAACTCTTACCACCATGTCATAAATTTATTTACTAGAGGACATTGTAAAGTGTTACAAAATAGGATGGTAACAAGTGCATCGCCATGTGATAACATTAGACTCTGAAAAAAGTTTGGCAAAACTTACCCACGTGATATCTAGTTTTGAAGTTCTAGTAACGAGGTTTTTAGAACGGATTTTTAAACTTTGTAGTCCTTTGAGCTTCAAACCATTTACTGTTACTGAAATAAGCCTTTAATTCCTTGATGTGCAAACCATGCTTGTTTTTCTCTGTGTGCACCTAGCAATTCCATCTTCTTTCATGTGTACCTATCAATTTTTCTTTGCATGTCATGAATTGTGAGAACGTGGAGCGGGGATTGGGTCGTGCTATAGAGCAATAGTTAGAATGATCATATTTTCCCCGTATTATTGAGGAGAAATCAGAATATAAAATAATTATAACATGTTGCAGTCAAAAGTTCTCAAGGTGTATCCATACAAATATTGGTCAACTATGGCGACATGCTTGGCTGGAGGATTTCAGACAACACTAGTTGGAATAATATTGAGTAGAGACAAGAACACATGGAAGCTAGGTTGGGATCTGAACCTTGTGACCATCTTGTACTCGGTGAGTCAGTAGATCTGGCAAACATCCATAAAAAAAGACTAGTAACTTAGGGTATACTTTATATATCGAAGTATCTTTCCACTGGAATCAGAAATACAACATTGGAAGATGAAACAAAAGGGAATACCTTCCAACTTAAAGGATAAAAAGTAATTCTTAATTCAAAAGTTGTTTGCAAAATTATTTACTAGGAAATCAAACATGGAGTCATTTGGTGTAGGGGGTACTTGCAACGGCGGGGAGATATTGCATGACCTTGTGGGTCGTGTCCAAGCGAGGCCCAACATATCCTCCGATGTTCAACCCATTATCTGTGGTGTTTACGATTTTGTTGGACTCAATCTTCATAGGCGACGAAATTACTGTGGGAAGGTATGTCCCTTTTGTTTCTTCTCCCAATGTTGTAGTTCTAATTCTAGTAAAAGGGGTACTTCTCTATAATTGTTACTGTTGAGCACAAGTCAAATTAAACTATTCTTTTTTCTTCTAATTTGTACAGCCTAGTTGGAACGGCAATGGCGATTGTTGGGCTCTATATTTTCATATGGGGAAAATCAAAAGAAGTGAATGAAAAATAGATCTCATCGGTGGCTATACAGGAATATTGCATATTTTTTCTTACTAGTAAGCATGAACTGTGAAATGCATGCCTCCACTGTTGTTTAGCAATTATTATCCCAATTCATCCATATTTTGTACAAATCCTTCAACATTTCGTAAGAGATAACCATGGAAAATTATAGATATTTATATATATATCAGAATAAAATCTTGATATAGTGCTCTACCCTAATTAATGTGCTTGTGTTCATATTGATAGTATAGTTGTCCTTAAACTCATTACGAGTCTTGTATCCACTACAATCTTACAAAATACATACCATGAGCTTAAAGGCAGAACCACTTTTTTTAACACAATAGAGACACATACGCGCATACACTCACCCCTATGAACACAAGCAAAGTTCGAGATAATTTGTTAAATTAATTGTTTTTTCAAGTTCGAGATAATTTTAATAGTCAATGGTAATCGCTGTCAATGGTCAGAGTCAAAGTCAACGGTTCAGAAATCAGCAGCTAGTTTTTTGTGAACCTTATTTGCCTGTTTTTTACTATAGCAAGCGGAAGAAAAAAGAAAAGCGACGAACCAGGCGCTGTTGCTACATGGCCGTCCTATACAGTTGCCTTCGGGTGCTTCGGCCGCAAACGACGCCTAAACCGTTGTATTCCCTTCTCTCCCATCCCCCTGCTTTCTCTAGTCATGGCGTCGTGGGTGGCTTCGGGATCCTATTTGGCGCGCAAGTCGTTGCTTAGCAACTGCGCGCGCACCCCACTGCTTCCAGCCGTGTACGTTTGGACTGGCCCAACGACCGGGTTTTTTTTATTACTAGTTAATCGCCGTGCGTTGCACTGGGGCATACATATGCTAGTCACATTCATGGTGTCTAATATATCTTCCTCCATTCACAATCTCTGTCTAACACCCTCTTTCATGCACTTAAACCCGTCGAAGTGTGAAGGCTCACCCAATGCAAGATTTAATCCGGAACAAAATGCTTGCATGCTTAGCCAATGCAAGATTTGATCCCAACAAAATGCTTGCGCGCTTGCTATGCATATCATCAAGAGTCGCCGTCGACAAACATCTAAGATGCCACATAGACTGAATACTGATATGCTGCTTGCTTACAATGCTATTGTCGTAGACTGAATATTGATATGCTATAACATACATTGTCCACGTAGGCAACACTGTCATGTGGATGTGTTCTTCTCCTGGTCCAATACTTGTAGGATAAATGGATGTATCTAGATGTATTTTAGTTTTAGATACATTCATTTTTATCTATCTGACAAGTATTTTCTGATGGATGGAGTAGACGATCTTCCTTAGCACCTTAATGCAAAACTCGGATGCAAGTTTTTATGAAATCTTCAAAAGTAAAAAAATCAACATAAAAAGATCTTAGTCTCACATATTACCTGAAAAGCAATCCTACTGAAAGAGAACATGATAATTGACTGTTGTATGCTTCTACTTGATCTACCCTCCATTCATATCCTCCCTTTTCACAAGGAACTTGGCATGAAGAAACTACAAAGAGGAGATAGTGTAAATCAATTAGTTGTCATGTTGGAGGAGTGATTATGCTTCATAGCGAACAATGCAACCACCTCCTTCACTTTGAGCTAACGAGCAGAGAACTTCTTCGACATATTGTTTATGAAAGTATGTAGATGTGTTCTTATTTGGAGCTGGGAGAGGTCCTCCTGCATGAGGCTCAAGTGGGTCTCGAGTCTCGACGATGCCCACCTTCCCCCTGATCTCTGCGTGGCAGCACTGCAGCTGCAGCGGCAGCGATGGACAGATCCCCATTCAGTGACTCCCTCCAAAATGTCCTCCACCAGCGTGTCAACCTCTTGGAACCACTTCGTCCATTGCTCCAATGGCAACGTCACCGATCCAAATCTCGAGCAGCGCCATTGAGAAAAAGTCAGGAGGCATAGGCTGCTGAACAAGATTGCCAAGGCGTTCAGACCTTGATCCACCCCATATAGATAGACATGTATGCGTTACATTCAGACATTGATCCATCCCCAAGTCCTCTCATAGCTACATGCCTACATCTAGCATCACGTTCAGGCCTTGATCCATCACCAAATCCTCTCGTAGATGGCCGATCCCCAAGACTTGATGACCTTGAATGTTCACAAAAATCTCACAGCTGATAGACATGTCGTTCAGACCTTGATCCATCCCCAAGCCCTCTCATAGCTATGTCTAGCAAAGTTTGTATAACAATTAATCGGACAGTGAAACTCGTCTCACTTCAAGGAACCGACAACACGTCGCTACTCCTCGCTAGCCTTGCCTGGTGGTGGTAATGGCAGCGATCTGCAGTGGCGCCTACGACAACTGCACTACATATTAAATAAAAATATTACTCTTTCAAATTTCAAGCTAAAATTAATGTGTATAAATGATTTTTTAGTGTCACAAAATCTTTGAAGTTTTCAAGCTTTCAGCTTGCTTTCTATGTTTCTCACTTTGCCGTGTTATGTCATTCCAACATTCTCCTCAAGCATACAATGGACACTGATGGACAATACCATTTGTGCAGCTAAAATGGATATATAAAGTAGAAACCTTTACACAACTAAAGAGATATATACCTTGGCAAGTTAGCCGCTTGCGGCACCTCACCCTCATCTTGGACCCAGCATGGCCACAATCACTGACACACTTCCGCCGTCGCCTCACACCAGGGATTAACTTGTTAATCACACACATACATTACATGGCCATAATGCATGCATATTCAGAATTCCAATCATGGACACCAAGTTCTTCAGCCGCTGAACTACAGCAACCTCGTTTTTTCTCTGATGAGAAAACCTTCTGCAACCAAATCAGCCAGCCATATTTCGGGTCATTGTACAACAACGATCCCTTTTAAACTGGTGAAGTTTGGGGATATTTCTTAAGGAAAGTGCCAATCCTAGTGTTGGACTGACAAGGTGCCGAATTTCTTCTACAAATGTCTGTAATAGAAATATCTCATTAATTTAGTTATATGCTTATTTGGAACATGCAAACACACACTACGTACAAGAAAATATTTTCCGAACTAAGAAGAAAAAGGCAACCTGTTCAAACTGCAACCGTGAAGGAAGGCCGTCGGGGATGCGAGACTGGTAGGATCTCGGCGAGGCGACACGAAACGGGGCAGGACCTCGGGGAGACTGCTGCATGTCCGCAACACACGGCAGGACCAGCTGCAGGAGGCCGTGGAGCAGGACAACATTCATGCGAGGGGATCGGGGACTCATCTATGGGGGCTGCTGCGCGAAGAGTGGGACGCCGCACGGGGGAAGGTATTGGCTAGATCACGAGGAGGTGGGCTGGCGGCGGCGGCGTGACGGGAGGGCCTCGCATCGTGAAGAGTTGGCTACCGGCGTTGTACTGCAGCATCGGGACGGCGACGCTAGGGTTGAGAAGTGGAACGCATGGGCTGGTTTTAATGGAAAATCCGGCGAGGAAAAACCCAAAACAGAAGGAAAGCCGATGACTTGCGGCGGTGCTAGGCGTGCGGGAGGTCGAGGCAACGGCGACCATGGAGGCGGTGCCCTTCGAAAGGGTAGATGCGAAGGCGGCGCCCGCGGCGGCTGCAGCGTGATGGAAAACAACGTGCCATAGATTGATTAATTTGGAGGAAACTTGGGCGTGACATGGTCTTGATAATTGAAGGATATTGATCACCGTCATGAATGAATTGATTGCCATGCATGAATTGATTGCTTTTGGATTGATTGCCTTTGGTTACCTTACGTGCATTATATGTTTACCAAAGATACAGTCGGTTTGTCCGGCCAGATGAGGATAAAACCGGCAGGGAAAAAACCGATGGAGGGAGAAAAGAAAATCGCTGAAGGGGAGAGGGGGCTCGTACGAGATGGTTGGACGAAGGGGAAACGTAAGAGGGGAAACGGAACACTCCGTTTCTTTTAGGTAGTAGAGATTTCTTTTTACACTCCTTTTCCATTTTTTCTTCCTATTTTTCGACATTTCTTGTTATTTGTTTTCCATATTTCCTTATTATGTTTCCGTCTTCTTCACCTTTTCATTTTCATTTTGTTATTTATTAAAAAATAAGTGAATTTGTGAATCGTTATGGAAATAATGAATCTTTTTCGGACTCATGAACATTTCTTAAATCGTGGACATGTTTCAAATTCGTGAATATTGTTTTAAAAATTCACGGACATTTCCTGAAAGTATGATCTTCTTCGGAAAATCATGTCTTTTCATATCGGGGAATGTTTTTGAATTTATGATTTTAAAAAAAACTGGAAGAGTTTATATACATTCGTGAACATTTTTTTGACTATTGCGAAACATTTTCAAAAAAGTCATGGAAATTTTCCGAATTTTTAAATATTTGTTTAAAATTGATGTTTTCTTGAATCCACAAATATTATATTTCTGAACATTTTTTACGAAACCTCGAACCCTTTTTGAATACCTGAACATTCTTCAAATTTTCTATTATTTTTTAAAACTCGTTACCAATTTTAAATATGTGAACTCTTTTAAAAAATGATTTTTCCATTGCTTTCACATTGTTTGTCAACACTTATTTTTTAGAAATTTTGGAACATTTTTCTAATCCTGAAATATTACAAAGAAGCATAAAAAAGTAAAAATAAAAACTGAAACATGGGGCGTCAGGCCCCAAGTGGGCCGACTCGTTCGACAGCGCGCACCGCGCTAAATAGGAACTCCCGCGTAATGAGTAGCTAAACGCTTATAACATGCGTAGAAGGCGCCATAAAAATGATTGTGATTTTGAATTGTGTTTCCATGTTTTTTGTTTTTTGTGATTTAAAAAATGATTGGGAAATCTAAAAATGTTCTTAGTTTTGAAACACTATTTGCAAATTCAATAAATCTTCACAAAATTCAAAACACGTTCCAGAAAATAAAAAAATGTTCAAGAATTTCAACCAAAGTTCGTCGATTCATAACATGTTTGCATATTATAAAAATCATGAATTTGAGAAACGTCCGCGCCTATTT